CTACTTGAAGGACCAAAAGAAGCAAAATCTTAGCTAACTAATTTATAGAGGACATACATCGGTTTGGACAAGTCACATGGCGAGTTTAGTTCTCATAGCAAGATGAAGAAGCAGGAGAAAACAAGAGACAAATTTTTCACTCAGATGTGGAAAGGGGTGAAAGGATTGTGGAAGGTATTAAAGGAGAATGAGTCATTTTCTTCTTCGAGGCTGAATGAGGATTCATATGCACCGACTATATGGACTGATGATGAGGGAGTTGAGGATAACGAGGCCATCGAGAGTGGGGAGGAGTGATGCATCCCATGGAGCCCTTTTGTATTCTCTTTATGACTTTCATAGTTGTACTATGAGGACATAGAGCCATTTTTAGATGGAGGTGCTTCCCTTTGAATTGTTTTTTTTTTTTAAGTTGGGCTGATGTTTTGGATTGATATTTTGTATGACCTTGTCAGGATTTTGTAAATATTGTGTGGATTGGTCATTTCTTATCTTTTCATTTTATGTTAGTTTACATTTCATTTATTAGTTTCTTTTTGTGATTATATTACTTTGCTAAGTGACGATTCCCAATGATAGATAGTGATAACTTTTTAAAAGGGAAATCAGCATGGTTGTATCCTTCTTGTATGCCTTTGAGTAGGGGAAGTCTGAGTACCCGTAGCTAATGAGAATTGGAGTGGCCCTAGGTGAAGTGTGAGTAGACGAACTCAACAAAACACTTGAATTTTTCCAATGATAGATTGGGTGACGTCATTCCTAAGGGTAAATCGTAGTTTTGTTTGGTGTTGTTGGCCTTGTTGGTGCTTTGATGTGAAATTGTGACTTTTTTGGTACTAATAGACTTAGTCAAGCCTTGTGAATCATAAATGATTCCCCCTTCCTAATTTTTTGTGAAAATGCAATATGTGGAAGTGAATGACTTTGTGAAAATGTTTTTGACTTTTTTTGCGACTACTTACTTACTAGGTAGTGAATGTAAAAAATAACTCCTTTGTTCTTGGCTAGAAAGTGAAATTAATCCATCTGGAATAGCTTGCATGTCATGTGTAGTGAGTTGTTGAAATAATTCCATTTGTTCATTTAAGCTAACTAGAACTTGCCAACTTGGTCTTAAAATGTTGGTCTTGATCTCTTTTGCTTGGAGATATGATCTTAGGCTTTCTTTGTGGTTATTTTTGAAGTCCATTTGACCTAAAAAGTCCCGCCTTTGCACTGAATGTATCCCTAGTTGTTCCCTTTGAGCTTAGTACCATTTTCTTGGTAACCTCATTACAAGTCATTAACATTTCCAAAAAGTAATCCTCTTTTGAACCATTCCCTCCTTGAACTCGACAATTGTGAAAGTTGAGGCTAAAAGCCTAAGTTGGGGGTGTTCTGGAAAACTTATAAAAGAGATGCTAATGACACGAAGGCTTGATTTTGAGCAAAAATAAAAAAAGAATCAAAGAAAGGAGGAAAAAGTGTAATGAAAGAAAAGTCTTGAAAAAAAATGAAAGATGTGAATAAAAGAAAATTGAATCCTCCAATGTATAAAATTGTTGCATGTGGGGCATCTTGAGTGAAAAGAGAAAAAAAAGTGTGCATTGGTTTGAAAAATGAAGAAAAATGATGAAGTTGGAAAATGAAGACTTATTGTGTATAGTGTTCAAGAAGGATGTAGTCGCTTTTACCCAAAATGATATCTTAAACTTCCCTAACCTACATTACAAGCTTGACAAAAGTCCTGCGTTATCCCCAACCGATTGTTTTGAGCCAACATTGGTTGAAAATAAAGGCAAATCTATGGTGTGGTACTTGTGTGCATGAGTTGTTCTTTGTGGATGTGAGTGTTTGCATTTTTTCCCCTTGCCTTGTTAATACTTGTATGTGCATTTGTGGGAATCTTTCTTTATTGTGAGGGCATGCAAACTAGAATGGATTGGTGAAGTCGAAAGACTCCAAAGTTGAGTCAAGGGAAATTGTTTGATTGACTAGTGGTTGTGAGTCACTTCTTGAGAATTAGTGTTTTCACTTGATCATTCTTGAAAGTTCATTTTGTTAGTGAAAGTGCTTGCATAGAGGGAGTTGCTTGGATTGGAAATCATTTGCTTGCTTGCTAATTGTAAGTACCAACCAAAATCATGATCATTAGTTGAAGTGCGGAGAATATTGTGCTTAAATTGAGTGTTTCTTGTGGTTTTGATATGTTTTGCTTGAGGACAAGCAAAATTTTTAAGTTAGGGGTGTTGATGAATCGAAGATTTTGACTTATTTGAGGCCTTTTACCTATGATTTTGTGGCACTTAAGTAGAGAAAAAGGTTAATTATCCATTGATTTGTGTTTGTTTCAAGTATTGATGCTTTAAAAGGAATTTGATGGAAAAGAGTGGAAAAAAGGAGCTAAACCTGGCAGAAATTACTCTCTGATCTCACTCCTGCGACCTGGAGGTCGCTTTCGCGAAGCTCAACAGGGTAAGAGGCTACTTAAGCGACCAAATAAAGCTCGCTTGTGTGAGTAGTCAAGTAAAGTCAATGTTCACTTAAGCGACCACACATGCATTGCTTTAGTGAAAGACATGATTTACGTAGGCTTCACTTAAGCGAAGGACTTGGCCATTAGCTATAGCCTGGTAACTTTAGCAAAGAGCAGTTATCTGAACAGGGGCAGAGTTGGAATTTCACACATTTTTTTACCCAATTCTCACAAAAGTTGAGGAGGGCTGATAGGAGAAGGCATCTTTTATCATCTTGGGCAACTAGGAATTCTGCATTGCATCCATAGTTCTTAGTGTTCATAGCTTGGCTTAAGACTTTGAAAGCAAGTTGCCTCACAATTTAACTTTTGGATTGGAGATTGAGTTCTTAATTGTAATACTTTTCATCCATTCTGCTTTCCCTTGTTTTGGATGCATGAATTGTAGGTGTAATTGATTATTAGGAATTGAGATTTTATGCTAGAGATAGACAAATCATTGGGTTGTTAATTTTCTTACTATTGTTTTTGTAATTGATTTTGAATGCTTTCTATTTATGATATGGGTTCAATTGAATTATCATGTTTTGATTCATGATTTTCTGGATGCACACTCTAGTCTAGCTTAGATATTCATGGGTCGTTTGAGAAAGAATTTATGAAGTGGATAATCGAATTGATAATTGCATACTAACTTTGATTCCTTTGTTTGCTTGTGAAAGGAATTTGGGGTTTCATTGTTGAATGTTATATTTGCTTGAGAAAGAAATCTATATTAAGATAATAGATTTCTTTGCATGATACACATGAGAGGGTTTGAGAAAAGCTCTTGTGATAAACAAATATGTGATTGGGAAATGCATCTTTGTGCTTGAGAAGAATCTAGCCTACCCATTGATAGATGAATTCGCATGAGATTAAGTTGCAATGGATCGTTTGAATGTCAATTAGCTTTCCATTCCCTAAATCCCTTCGATCCCTTGCTTGAAAAGATATTTTCTCTCATCCGGAATTGTTACTGTAATTCTCTTGATAAAATAATTTTGTATTATTCATTTAGATTCAAACTAGTAGCTTTTAATTCTGTCTTTTCAATTACCGATATATTATTCCTTGTGGGATTCAATCCCGACTTCATACATTGGGTAATTAGATTGCTAACGACATCTTACTTGTTTAATTGTTTTACAAGTAATTTGAGAGTTATCAGTCCTGTTTCTGATGCTCAACCTTAATCTGGTTACAAATACCTAAAAAATCATGTTATTAATAATACACAATAGAGTGTATAACTAACACAAGGTATACATAGCATAAAAAAAAGTGTAACAAACAAGGTATTATTAATACACAAAGCTAATGCATGAATTCTTTTTATTAATGCACTCCATCGAATGACTCCTAACCGTTCCTAAGTATTCATTATCTAAGATAGTTCTCTTTTCTTTACATATAAAATAGAAGTTAATTTAGAGTTTTTTTCCCCATAATATGGATAATGACTAGTAATTCTCAGATCTTTTATTTCTATAACTGGCCGTTGGCTCCAACTAATCAGAAAGCAACCACTGCTTAAAGCTAGTCACTCAAACCAACCATTACATTATAAAACAAGTAAAAAGTGGATTTTATAAGAAAAGAAAACAATAGGTATGACAGTCGAAATTGCTTCAGAGAGGCGAATCAAGTGGGGGACGCACTAGCTAAACATTGTTTATATAATAAGGATATCTTGATTTTTGATCCTAAAGATTTGCCAAAGGATGCCGCTGGCCCGTACACCCTTGATAAGATTCAGATGCCCTCCATAAGACAAAGGCAAAGAAAGAATATATTCCGAATCACTAGCTATGATATGTTTTTCTTTAGTTTTTGTTGTACATGACCTGTTTTTTCAGGTTGTATATTTATGTTTATTAATGGAGGTTTAGGCTATCGTCCCCCTCTGCTTGTTCTTTGTATAGATCTTGATGAAATAAAAGGTTTGCGCCACCGAAGGAGTAAAAATTTCCAAAAAAAAAAAAGTGAAATGGAAAACACTTAGCTTTTAGTTCAAAAGAAATAATTTAATTCAAATTTGAAAACTCTAGAACCCATAGTCATCCCCCATAAATTTTCTAAAAATAATCTAACCCATTGCAAGCGCACAAGTCCAAAACCTACCCCGCCCCACATCTGCTCTGCCATGCTGTCATCTCTATCTCCTAATATAATTTTAATCCACTAAATCAACAAGTTTTACCCTTCTTGAAAATTAACTCTACTTTTTCATCTACTTGGTGTAACAAACTAACCGTTTCTATTTCATGAGATTATAAATTGAATCCTGCTATGCCATTTACATTGAAATTAGTTGGCAGCTCATTATATTTACAGATATAAAGAAGAACAAATTAGGAAACGAAAAGACTACAAAATAATAAATAGTATTCCTTCCCTCTATCCCATTTTATGTGGCAGCATTTTCATTTTAGTCCGTTTTAAAAAGAATATCACTTTACTATAATTAGAAATAATTTAACTTTAGAATATCACTACTTTCATGTTTATCAGCATCAGTCCTTAAGAGGCCAAAACAGGCAAGTTTCATATAGATGGATACATAGAAAACCTAGGAGCTGAGGTATATTACCAGTAATCACCACATGAACAAGCTCCATTTTGGAAGTGGTGAAACCTATTTATATCTCTTATAACAATTTCTCGCTGCACAAGTGTTGATATAAACTTGATTGCTGCATGACAGTCCAAACATATTCGCAGATTTTTAATAATCCGAATTGGGCTTCCAGGCGGCGTTCTTAATAAAGTAAAGGCTAAAGCTAATCTCTCACTATGTAACCAAAGGAGGCGTATCTTTTCATCATCGTCCACGTCAAGTAGAACAACATCAGAATTAGGAACGTAACCTCCCCCCTTACTTTTCAAGTTAAACCATTCCAACATTCCGTGTATAAGTTTGATATCAGGATGTGAAGCATCACCAACAGAGAAATAATGAACACTGCCCTGGTTTTCAACCCAACTAAGTCCTGGTTCCTTCTTTAGTCGTTTTTTCTTCATAGTTTTCCGGACAAAAGCTACATTATTCCACCTTTTCGAAGTGGCATACATATTTGATAACAGCACATAAGTCGCTTCATCTTGTGGTTCCAATTCAAGCACACGCTGAGCAGCTGTTTTCCCAAGATCAACTTCATTATGAAGAACACAGGCACCAAGCAAAGCACGCCATACCATGACACTTGGCTCAAATGGGATGTCTTCGATCAACTTAAGAGCCTTATCAAGGTGACCTAAGCGCCCCAAAAGTGATACCATGCATGTATAATGTTCAACGCAAGGTTCAATACCATAATCATCCAGCATCAAAGAGAGATATGCATATCCTTGATTCAAAGATCCTGAATTGCTACATGCTGAAAGAACACCAAGAAATGTTAATTGATTAGGTTTGACATGCGTTCTGCGCATTCTCTCAAAGATACTGAGAGCTTCATTCCCAAGACCATGCATGGAATATGCTGAAACCATAGCATTCCATGATACAACATCACGCTCAATCATCGCTTCAAACACTAACCGAGCATCCTTAATACTCCCACATTTTGCATACATATCCACTAAAGCATTTCCAACAGCAAGATCTTGATCGTAAATGGTTTTTATAGTAAAAGAGTGAATTTGAAGACCTGGCTCCAATGCAGCCAGGGTTGCACAAGCACGCAGCAGAGACGAATATGTCACCGATGAAGCTCGCACTTGAGCTTCATGCATATCAATAAACAGAGCTAGTGCCTTCTCTCCATCTCCACATTGTACATGGCCAACAATAATAGTGTTCCATGATACATCATTTATGTTTTCGGTCTCCAGAAACATGTCTACTGTATTTTCCACCTTTCCACACTTAGCATACATATCCATGAGGGCATTTCTAACAAACACATCTGAATCAAGACCAAACTTTGTCACGTAGCAGTGGATTTGCATCCCAAGGTCTAAAGCCTCCACAGATGCACATGCCTGCAGCACACTAGCAAAAGTAAACTGGTTTGGAACAATTAATGCTCTCCTCATTTGGGAAAAGAACTTCAGTGCCTCATCACAGCGGTCACTCTGTGAATATCGTGCTATAATAAAACTCCAATGAACTACATCACGCTCAGGTATCTCTTGAAATACACACGCAGCATCATTCAAACCTCCAGATTTACAGTATAGGTCAAGCAACGAAATACCAACTGAAGGATCCATCTCGTACCTAGTTTTCAGTATACAACCATGAACACTCTTGCCCACATCAATGGCCTGTAGACCAAGGCAAGCCTTTATGACACTCGTGAATGTGTAGTTATTTGGCATCCAACCTGCCAACCTCATTTGGGAGAAGCATCTCAGTGCTTCTTCAAAGTAATCATTTTCCGCATAGCAAGTAACCATCCCTGTCCAAGACACCATGTCCTTGTCAATAATGCCATCAAAAACGTCCCTGGAAAAATCAACAAGTCCAGAAACAGAGTAAGCATCAATGAGGGAAGTGCTGACAAAAGGATTAGAGTCAAATCCAAGCTTATAAATACACGCATGAATTCTCCAACCCATCTCTGTTTCATCCATACCCACAAGCACTTTCAAGATTGTTGTGAATACAAATGGGTTCAGCTCATGACCTTCTCTATGCAATCTAACAAACAATTCAACAGCTGTAATATACTCCTCTGCTTGCAAATGACCCTGAAGTAAAGTAACAAATGAAACCACATTTTTCGTAGACATTTCATCGAACAGCTGAACTGCATCATGTAATAACTCAGACTTGATATAAAAGTTGAGCAAAATGTTCTGGCCAAATAGGTCTAAACATCCTCCTCTCTTTAAAACATCGCAGTGGAGTGCCTTTCCAAAGATGAAATCCCTGTTCTTTATGCAGTTCTGAAGCACATTGGCGTATGCAGAAGAATTGAAAGATGAAATTTCCAAATTCGTGTATTGCTCTTTCGACAAGGGGAGGGATTGGGATGAGAATTGGCAGTGCCAAGACAGAGCCCAGAAATGGGATGCTGGAAAGGTTGCAAATCCCGTCCAGGGCTGTCTTCTGCCCAGTACGTATCTCAGCATGCGTGCTTCGCCAAGACAACGCAGGTTCCCTTTTAGACATAGGCGCACCCTATATATGAAACAATGGGGCCACCTATATTTAGTACTCCATTGATGTTCAATTTATATGACTTAATTTGACATAACAATACAAAACTTAAAGAAAAAAAAAAGAAAAAAATTAAATTTATCGTCTAAAATAAGTTATACATATATGTGTGATTGAATCATTTCATTAAGGATAAAATTAAAATGATTATATTTAAGTTAAATTGTTATTAAATATAATTTTATTTTATTTTATATTAACTAAAAAAGAAAACTAAGTCATATAAATTGAGACACATGAAATAATACTTCTTATTCCACCCAATTTATGTCCACTTTTCTTATTTGATTGTCTCGAAAAAATGTCCCAATTGCTATGTATGTTCACTTTTAACTATCCGTTATTTCAAAAACAATTTTTTTAAACATATTAAAAATAAAATTATTTTTTTCTTATTTGATCCTTAGCTTTAGTCATTAATTTAGTAAATTAGTTTTTAAAATTTAATATAAATATAGGGTTGTGCATAAATACCAAAAAATCAAAGTGAACCAAACTAATTTAGTTTTTCGGGTTTTTGTTTCGTTTTCAATGTTTTTCTACATTTAATATATGTTAAATTCTACATTTAAAGGATATTGTAGGAAATAAACCAAGATTAGGATTCCTATGTCGTTTAGGATTCCTTACTAGGTTAGGATTTGTTAGTTTCTAGTCCTAGTTTACTTTGGTTGTTAGTATTAGTATTATAAATAGGGATGCCTTATTACATATTTTAAATGTAGTGAGAGAGACATTCAAGTGTAGAAATATACATTGAATGCAGAGAGATATATGTAAGGTACAAAAATTACAAGAGTCATTGAGATATTAAATAAAGTCTCTTACCTACTATTTGTAGATTAATAAGTTTCTTCTATATAATCATTGTTGGTATTTCACTTGTGCATATTATTGAGTTAATTCTATTGTTGAGTTAATTATTCTAACTTTATTAACTGAATGTAATGCAAAGAGACAAATGCAAAATACGTTTCAAAGGAGAAGATACATCTGTTCCAAAAACAAAAGTGATGTAATGGCCTTTAATGTCATTAACCTTGACAATACGTTTCTAAAACTTAAACTCTCCTACTTTCAACTCCTTCTCTTGCAATCCTATATAAGAAGTGGCTTTGGTGAACAAAAGAGAGACCAAATCCAACAAAAAGGAAAACAAAACATTTCCCTCCTTTCTTCTTATCCTTAGAATATTTTTGGGCAATTGGTTTTGGGCAACCTCCAAACTCTCAGCCATGAGTGCACGTGTTTGAGAGTAACTGTGGAACCTTGGGGAGCGACTGGCTACAACGATTTGCACCGGAGTCGAGCCGAAATCGCTTTAAAGGCAGTGGCTTGCCACGACACAGTATTTGTGATAAGTTATTTATTACTTTATAATTCCAATCTAATATCAATTTTGTAGTATTTTTCCCAACAATTTGAAAGCGATTTCCTAACGTACAATATTGATAAATGGATATTTCTTTGAACAATTTTTTTTCTGATTTGTCAAAACTTGAGCCTTTGGATGGAAATAATTTTAAACGTTGGTCACAAAAACTTTTAATTTTCTTTGAACAATTAGAAGTTGATTATGTTCTATTTAATGAACCTTCTATGAATGGTGCTAACACTACTACTGAATCTAGCAATGTTATGACTGTTGACGATATTGCTAAAAAGAAGTTTGAAAAGGATAACAGAACGGTGAGAGGACATTTGTTAAACCATATGACTAATCCTTTCTTTGATTTATTTGTTACTTATAAATCTGTTAAAGAAATATGGGATAGTTTGGAAAAGAAATATGGCGCTGATGATGCAGGAAAGAAAAAATATGTTGTCAGTCAGTGGATTAAATTCCAAATGGTTGATAATAAGTCAACAATGGAACAAGTTCAGAATATGAGAACTTGACTGCTGATGTTCTCAACAAGGACATAAAGATGTGTGAGATACTTTAGGCTAATGTTCTGCTTGAATAATTCCCACCATCTTGGAGTGATTATAGAAATCAATTAAAACATAAGAAAAAAAAGTTAACTCTCCAAGAACTTATTAGTCATTTGAGGACTGAAGAGGTGAACCGTCTCAAAGATAAAATGGAAGAACTTTCTCTTAATTCTTCTAAGGCTAATCTCGTTGAATCTTCTGGTACTGTTGTGATAGACAGGTTCAAAGGCAGACAGAAGAAAGTCACGAAAAAGGAACATATGAAGAAGAAAATCAATTCAACAAGCCGGAGAGTCAAATTCAAAAATTTAAAGGTCCTTGTTTTGTTTGTGGAAAAGTTGGTCACAGGGCAGCCAAGTGCTATCAAAGAAAAGGGAAGGACTCAAATCATGAAGGACAAAGTGATGTCCAAGCTTATCTTACTGAGGGTAATGAAGTGATTGTTGTTGTAGTCGTTGAGGCAAATCTGGTGGCTAACAAAACTGATGGTGTGCTAGACACAGGTGCTTCAAGGCATTTTTGTGCTAAAAAAATTTATTACATGACTTTGAGGAGTCCATTGATGGAGAGTGTGTTTACATGGGTAACTCCACTACTGCTGGAGTTATGGGTAAAGGAAAAGTTTTACTTAAATTAACTTCTGGAAAAACTTTATCCTTGAACAGTGTTTTGTACGTTCCCTCCCTCTGTAGAAACTTAGTTTCCGGAGCACTTCTCAACAAAGTAGGCCTTAAACTTATTTTTGAAGCTGATAAAATAATTATTTCTCGTGGAGGAGACTTTGTTGGGAAGGGATATCTAAGTGGAGGATTGTTTGTATTGAACATTGTTCAAGAGATTGTCAATAATGCAAGTATTTCAAATTCTGATTATATTGTTGAGTCTGTTAATTTATGGCATGGTAGACTAGGTCATATTAATATTGCTTCTATTAGAAGACTTAGAAAAATAGAATTAATTCCTATGATAAAAACTGATGATTTTTCTAAATGTCCTGTGTGTAGAAGTAAAGCATGCCAAGAAACCTTTCAAATCTGTTATTAGTAGAAAGACCGAATTACTTGAACTAATACATTCAGATTTAGCATATTTCAAGAACACTGTTAGCAAAGGTGGAAAAAAGTATTAAATTACTTTTGTTGATGACTTTTCTAGATACACTAAGGTATATCTTCTTAAGTCTAAAGATGAGGCTGAAAGCATGTTTTTAAAATTCATAGCAGAAGTGGAAAATCAAGAGATTTAGATCTAATAGGGGTGGTAAATATAGTACTAAAACTCTAGAAGATTTTTGTGAGAAAAATGGTACTATACATGAGGTTAATGATCCCTATACTCCCCAAAAAAAAGGTATAGCCGAATGGAAAAATAAAACCCTTAAAGAAATGATGAATTCTATGCTTTTAAGCTCTGATTTATCTGCAATATGTGGGGAGAAGCAATTTTGTCTGCATTCTATATTCTTAATAGAGTCCCTCATAAGAAGTTAGACAAGACCTCATATGAGTTGTGGAAAGGGTTTGCTCCTAACTTGAAATTTCTAAAAGTGTGGGGGTGTTTGGCTAATGTTGATCTACCTGATTTTAAACGCGTAAATGTTGGTTCTAAGACTTTTGATAATGTCTTTATTGGTTATGCTCAAAATAGTGTTGCATATAGATTTATGTCTCTAAGTGATCATTCTATTTGTGAATCTACAGATGCGGAATTTTTTGAGCATATTTTTCCTTTGAAAAATAATATGCCAAGTGATGTGCAAAATAATGCTTCTGCATCTATGTTAAACAATTATCATGTTGTGCCTTCTTCTAGTGTTACTTCTAATGAACATGAAAATGAACTCAGAAGGAGTAAAACACGTAGAACTGAGACAAGTTTTGGTCCTGGTTTTATCAATACTTTCTTAACTGAAACTTTTGATATTAATATTTTAAATGATGAATTAGTGTCTATCTATTTAATAGAAGAAGATCCTAAGACTTATGATGAAACAATGAGATCAATAGATGTTATATTTTGGAAAGAGGCTATTGAAAGTGAATTAGACTCTATAGTTTCTAATCACACTTGGGACTTGTATGATTTACCTAAAGGTTGTAAGCCAATAAGTAGCAAGCGGATATTTAAGAAGAAATTGAGACCTGATAGTACAATTGAAAAATATAAGGCTAGACTTTTGATTAGGAGTTTTAACCAAAAAAAAAGGTGTTGATTACTTTGATACTTATTCTCCTGTGACTAAAATAGCAACCATTAGGACTCTTATTGCTTTAGCCGCTATTCATGATTTAGTGGTACATCAAATGGATGTCAAAACAACATTTCTAAATGGTGATTTAGAGGAAGAGATCTATATGACTCAACCAGAGGGTTTTATGGTTACAGGACAAGAGGGATAAAGTATGCAAATTGAGAAAGCCCTTATATGGACTAAAACAAGCACCTAAGCAATGGTATGAAAATTTAATATCACATTAGTGGATAATGATTTTGTTGTGAATTCATATGATACTTGTGTTTATTCTAAGATGATAGGTTCAGATTGTGTCATTATATGTTTATATGTAGATGACAGGTTAATATTTGGTCCTAATGTGAATGTTATTAATCAGACCAAGAACTTTTTGTCTTCTAAATTTGAAATGAAAGACCTTGGTGAAGCAGATGTGATTTTGGGAGTTAAAATCAAAAGAATTGCTAATGGTTTCTCTTTGTGTCAGTCTCATTACATTGAAAAGATGTTGAATTTTTTTTATTGTTTTGATGTAGTTCCAGTGAGAACTCCTTATGATCCTAGCATACACTTGAGGAAGAATAAATAATCTAGTGTTTCTCAAACTGAATATGCTAAACTAATTGGGAATGTAATGTTTCTCATGAACTATACTCAGTTTGATACAGCTTATGCTATTAGTAGACTGAGTAGATATACTCATAATCCCAGTAGTGAACACTGGAATGCTCTTCATCGCTTGCT